ACCCAGCCCAACACACACACCACACATACTCACACGCACAAACAAACAAATCTCACCTGAATAAAAATAGCAACAAGAAAAAACTAAACATTAACAAGATAAACAATACTAAACTTCAACCATTTAAAGTTTGTTTAACAAAGATATGTTACAACAAAAATACAAACAACATAATCAACATGAACTGTGGCATTCACCTGACGTCATCCAATCAGAATCAGGTAATACACAACAACAAAAACGATAACATGTTAGCAACAAAAGTAGGTCAAGTCAACAAAGGTCAGAGGTTAGAGAAAGTGAATTAGTAGGAAACTTTCATTTCCATGTTACTGTTTGTTGAGCACTTGTGTAGTAGGTTGGATTGTTGATTGTAGAATTTATGTGGTGTGGACGGTCAAAATGTTTGCTCATCTGCTGTGGAAATTGTGTTGAATGGCGAATGAAATTACAGTTTGAACTACAAATTAATAACATTTGCAAAAATCATCGAAAGTGATTCGTTGGATTCTCACCAATAAAATGTGAATGTGTTATATATATGTGTGGATGTAGGTGTAGATATGTGTTTATGCGTGACAACAGTGGCGGATCTTTTCGGGGAGTGGGTGGGGACACTGGCCCCCCCCGGTTGTGAGCAGTTTTTTAATAAAAGTCAGAAAAAGGACCGTTTTATGTGTAAAATAAATAGACCAAAAATTGAACGTGATAACGAAGCAAAGTGTCGTCAGCCACACTACCACAAATCTTGGCCTCTCCCGAGAAATTTATGGCCCCCAGTGTAAATTTAAACATTTTCAAATTTAAACATTTTCAAATTTTTGTCCTCCCGGTCAAAGTTGTCTAGATCCTCCACTGTGTGTGTGTGTGTGTCTGTGTACGCTTTGAGTTAATTACTTCAGGTAAGAAACAAAAAAGTTAAAATGAGCCACAAACAGCATGAAAATAAACAACGAATAAAAAAGATTGAAATGAACAAATAATTAAAAAAAACGAAATAACAACAGCAGTAACAACAACAACAATGACAACAACACAACAAAACACAGCGACAACAACAGAAACTACAGCGAAATAATGTATTTAGTTAAATTGACAGTTCAAAAGGTCCGCATATCATTGAACGTTGTACTAACTACTCTACGTATTATGTACTATACACACACACACACACACACACACACCACACACACACACACACAGACAGACACACACACACACACACACACATATATATATATATATATATGTATATATATGTATATATATTTAAAGAGAGAGAGAGAGAGAGGGAAAGAAAATACAATTAACGCACACACATATTGTATGTATTAGAGTATTCATATGATATTGTGCACGGAGAATTTTATGTCTGAATCGCGGCCAGAATGTTCGAGAAAATGTTGAGTGATTTGTTTGTTGAGGTAATTGAAATGATGTGGATGCTGTAATTAGTCAGGCAACTGTTTTGACTGAAGGATTGATGGATAGATGAAGGAATGGATGGATAGATAGAATGATTGGATGGATGGATAGATAAAATGATTGGATGGATAGATGAATGTATGGACGGGCGGACGGACGGATGAATGAATGGATGTTTTGATAGAATGATAAGTTGATCTATAGATGAACATTTTGACAAAAGATGGAGGAATGGATGGATAGATAGATAGATAGATACATAAGTTGATAAATAGATAGATGCAAGAGTGAATGAACGAACAAACAAATGTTTAAATTAATAATTTTTCCGAAGTTAATAAAGACCGTGAATGAATGGATAAATGAATGAATGAATGAATATACGAGAAAGGAATTAAAAGCTCGATAGGTTGACGGATTGATATACTGATGGATTAAATGTTGAATGCTGGTACGGATGAATGAATTGATGGAGAGAGAGAGAGAGAAAGAGAGAGAGAGAGAGAAAGAGAGAGAGAAAGAGAGAGAGAGAGAGAAATAATGAGTTGTAGATTTATGAGCTAGTTGATGGATGGAGATGTTTCACGGAGTGCTTTTGTCTTGTGCTAATGTTGGTTTTAACTTTTTTAAAATGTGGTCATTCATGTTTGAGTTTCATTCAAAAACACACACACTCCCACACACACTCCCACACACACACACTCCCACACACACACACACAAACCACACACACACAAACCACACACACACACGCACACACACAGATACTGATATATTAAGTGTATTTTCCATAAATTATGATGTTAACATGAGGGTTCATGATCGATGGATCAAATGTTATATCGAAGAAGATACATTGTGCAATATATATTATATCACGTCAATGTATGAAATTGTTATAAATGAGCCTCTATGGTTGAAGGGATTCAGTTTTTTATTTATTTTATCAAAAATTAGCAGCAACTTAGGAGTTACAATCTGTTAAAGTGTGAAAGATGGCGATTCTTGCACGTAAATTCTTTGTCAAATCAGTCAAAGCTTAAAAACATAAAAACTAAAATATGAACAGATAAAAAAGGCATACATTCAAAAGAAAATAAACGAGAAATAACATTCACATACACAACAGATTTAAACACGCACACAAACAAAACACACAATCTGAAACACACTCGCCCACAAATAGATACATACAAACACAAACAAAAAAGTTGCACCAACTTAAGACAAGCAGTTTGATGGACGAAGACTTCCTGATTGTGTTGTCAGCAGTGCACGTGTACCTACCCGCATCCCATGTCGTTACATTCCTTATTTCGTAGCGAAATCCAGTCCCTGTTCAATTGACATCAACGTTATTCACTCAAAGATTCATATGAGATCCTTTTCATTGATCAAGTAAGGCTTAATTAATTCATAACTTTATATAGATTCATCAATGAATCAACAAATAAATCATTTTTTTCTAAGTCTCGTAAAATTTATTTTTAATTTTCACGCCGTACTGTCTCATTTCAGAATAATGTTTCCATGGAAGAACAATCGAATGGGCGCATGTAACTTGACCATGTGGAAATAAAATGACACATTCGTACAAATGACACAAACACACACATACAGTTACACACAAACACACACATACAGTCACACACAAACGTCTGAAAACCCATTAACATAAATGAATTTAATATGTAACAACAACAACGACACCCATCAAATCAGGACCAAAACATCCAACAACATTCAGCTAAC